TTCACCTAAAGAAAACTTCGAATTGGGGCGAGCGCTGTCAATTACTTGCATACTTTCTTTCAACCCGGCGGCCATGTTCATGTGCGCTGCGTACGCCCGCAAGAAACTTACGGTCACAGGTGGCAGGGTGTATTTTCCTATTCAGTAACATCCACCTCCACCCCATCCTGAACTTCAGCCTCCCAACCTTGCGAAAAATTTGATCATATCCGTGGTAAAACGCGTTTGCTGGCGTGTTTTAAGAGTTGGTCTCGTAGATTTTAACCGCTCAACCTCTCCCCCCCCCCCCACTCTGCCAGCACATTTTGCGAAACACGCCGCTACCATTTTATCTGCATCGAGTGATATCACGAACGTTGTGACGTCTTGTGGCGCGTACTAGCCACCTTCAAGCACAAACGCTGCTTGCTCGCTCAGTAAGACTGGGAATCGAATCATTTTAGAATAGTCGGATAATCGAGTATGTGAATGCAAGTGCAAAATGTGCAACCATGAACAAATTTGCAAAAACACCACAGGAAAGAAACAGAGCACGCACACAACAATGTTTGAGTTCGGCAAATACGCGTCAGCAAACAATGCCACCTCTCGGGAAGTCGAAGTACTGCAAGTGAGTAAACTCGCACGCTACGGCGGCATTTCTGACGCGGCGGGTCTGGCACATGTCACCAAAACGGCCGACACCAAAATTGGCTGCAGACAACTACATGCTCTGAGCCTATCGCACCGATCACCGTGAAAACTTCACCACTCGATGTGCCATAGTGGATACCTTATCTTATCCGGAGCATGGTGACCTTGAGTTATGTCAAAGGTCACCAAAAACGGCCGAAACCACCTGAAATTAGTTTACAGACAGACCCATGCTCCGAACGTATGACACTAATCACCATGAAACCTTTACCAATCGATGCGCCACACTTGATGTCCTATCCTTCCTGAAACATGGTGACCTTGAGTCAGGTCAAAGGTGACCAGAAGCGGGCCTTTTTGGTGACTATCGATTGGTGAAGGTTTCATGCCGATCGGTGCCATTTGCTCGGTGAATGGGGATGTCTGCAAAACCTATTTTTAGTTGTTTTTGGTGACCTTTGACCTGACTCAAGGTCACCATGTTCTGGAAACGATAGATATCGACTGTGGCGCATCGATCGGTGAATGTTTCATGGCAATCAGTGTTACAGCCCCAGAACACAGGTTAATCTGCAAACTAAATTCAGCGGATTTCGGCCGTTTTTGTTTTTTTGTGACTTTTGACCCGACTTAAGCTCACGATGTCTTGGAGCGGACTGGATACCTACTACGGTACATCGATTAGTGAAGGTTTCATGGTGATCAGTGCCGTAGGCTTAGAGGACCGTTGACCTCACTCAAGATTACGATCTTCTGGAATCGATTCGATATCGAATATGGCGCATCGATTGGTGAAGATTTCATGTTGCTTGGTGCCGTAGGCTCGAAGTATGAGGTTGTTTGCAAACCTACTGTTCTCGTTTTTGCACTTTTGGTAACATTTGGCCTCACCCAAGGGCACCATGCCCTAGAAAGGACTTATCGATGAGGTTATCGACCAAGCGGCATCGAATGGTGAAGTTTTCATGTCAATCGGTGCCATAAACTCAGGGCGAGAGGCTATCAACAGGTTTTGTCGGCCGCTTGGTCCCTCCCCATCAAAAGGACGTTCAGTGACATAAGCAGACGATGACGTATTGAGGACCGCGGTTACTAAATTGTGAAACTGTGTTGTCTAGAGCAGTCTTTAACACTTTAAAGCAAACCAATGCCCCAAGTGAGCTTATGACATCATACCTGATACTTGTCTCAATATCTTCACATATGAAACTTTCCCTTTAATTTCGATCATCCACTTGTAGTCCTTCTTACGTGGGTAGCATTTTTGCAAAGACAAGAATTGAAACGGCAAAACGAGGGTGGAAAATTAAGATACACTCTCTATACTAACGGCAGCGATCACGTTTGAATGTGGTGAAGGGTGACTGAGCGGTTGAGTTTGTTGTTCAGTTCTGGAAACGATGTTTTGGTGGTGACGTCCTCCTAGGCATAAAGGTCCTCCCGTTTGATGATGATATTAAGATGTCATAGAGTTTCTGGCGATGTCGTCTCGGCTGATGCTTCGGCAGTGTTCATTTCTCACGTGCTCTTTCGGACCACCGTCAGCCAAGCTCATCATAAACCGTCTTCAAAGTATGGTGGTAGTGACACCAACCAAGTTTGCTAGCTTTAGGAACTTACAATCTTAAAAGTAAGTCCTAAAAATGGTATAGCTGTGATAGGCATTGAATGAGCTTCAAAACGGCTATCTCAGTTCAAAACCCCGTACAAATATAGAACAATCCCTTTGAGACTAGCTAACCGATGTCAGTCTTTGCCTGGTCGAATACGTCCACTGCTGCCTACGCACAGGGTTGAAACACCATGTGTTATTTTGGGGGCTTTTTACATTTATTTACCTATTTCAGCTCATTTTTCTACCACTGAAGCGACGACAATGAAGACAAATTAGCCTTCAACTTACTTGCGACAGCAACCAAAACTGTGGCAGTACTCGGCAGTGATCAAGCATGACAGCTAGCAAAACTGTGGCAGTACTCGGCAGTGATCAAGCTTGGCAGCTAGCAAAACTGTGGCGGTAGGCAGCAGTGATCAAGCTTGGCATGTGGACCAACGCAGACTTCCATTGAACACACCGGCATAGTGAACATCAGCAGAGCGTCTGCCGCAGCGGTAGACTACAAACTACGGCAGTCTAACAGCCATCGCTCAGGGTTCAACCAACAGGCGTTCCACTCTGCGAAGGCCGGAGATAAGCAAAACAAAAGAAGAGGAAAAAAAAAACAAATGGTTCGCCCGGTTTCATTACTGTGCATCACTAGAGCAAGAACACAACGTTTGAAGGCCATGTGCAAGAAAGTACGCAAAGTGACCCCCAAAAATATTGTTGTGGTCTTTTTCACGCTTTGCGGTGCATGGTTTTACTTCAGATCGGACTCTCCTCTAAGGCTACCCAAAATCACCGCTTGGCTTGTCAACTCCAGTTCTTGTGCGATACCTGATTATGACCCATGGGATGAAAGTATTGCGCAAATAATCCTTAACGAAAAACGGTTTGGTGGATGTCGTCAGCAATCTCCCATAGAAATACGGCAGGATGGTAACGTCCTGCTGTTTTTGAAAAACAAAACAGCGAAAAACCAACAGTGTGAGCCCGAGTGCTGCTTTCGCAGCGTTCTGAGGGCGGACGAGGGACATTCAGACGACAAGTATCAGTTCGGAACAAAGCACACTTGCTTGAAATGGGACCAACCATTCAGTGTGAAGGACGAATTCATTCATGTCAGATGTTTTTGTCCCCACAATAATGCTACGGTGCATGAGGATTTCCGTGCATTCGTAACTCCAAAAAACTTCGCGCAGAGCCCCGTATCATCCAGCGCAAAAGCCTCAAAAAACCGCAATGAGATATCCAATATCTACCTCATTGGTATTGACTCCGTTTCCAGGCTCAATTTCAAACGCTTTTTGCCTAAAATCGAAAGGCTTTTGAGCGACCAATTCAACGGTATTTCCATGCTGGGCCTGAACAAAATAGGCCTCAACACCTTCCCGAACATGCTTGCCTTGCTTACTGGCCTCCGGATAGATCAGGTGAGACTATCCCTGGGAACAGAGCCAATTGATGACTTGCCGTTTATTTGGAAAGAATTCTCCAAATTGGGTTACACCACCATGTTTAATGAAGACCTCCCAGAGATAGCAACATTTAACTACAAGAAGCAGGGCTTCCACAACACCCCCACTGATTATTACTTGAGACCTCTCTACCGAGCCATCGAAGATTCTTCGTACGTGAAAAGCCGGCAAACTCTGTGCATCAAAAAGCGACCGCAAATTGATTTCCAGCTGCAATGGCTGCAAGACTTCATGACTCAGGTCAACACTCGTCAGTTTGCGCTGTTGTTCAGCAGTGCCATGAGCCACGAGGGACCACTGACCTATGTCAGTGAATTGGAGGATCACCTGCACAAATTTCTGATCTGGTACAAAGACACAGAACGCTACAACTCGTCCATCGTGCTCTTCTTCAGCGACCATGGCATGCGGTTCGGCCCAGTGATGCGCACCGAGCTAGGCGGCTACGAGTCCCGCATGCCGTTCTTCTACGTGCTGCTGCCGCCGTGGTACGCGATGCGGTACCCGCAGCGCGTGCGGCACCTGCGCGCCAACGCCCGCCGTCTGACCACCTTCTTCGACGCGCACGCGACGCTGCGCCACCTGCTGGCCGACATGGGAGCCGCGCCCCAGCCGGCCGCCAACAACAGCGGCGTCAGCCTGCTGCGGGCCGTGCCGAGCGAGCGGACATGCGAGGCGGCCGGCATCAGCGCGCACTGGTGCGTGTGCCGCAGCCGGCGGCCTCTGCCGGTGCACGCGGCTGTGGTGCAGCGGGCCGCCGCCGCCGCCGTCCAACACATCAACATGGTGAAGCTGGAGGCGGTGCGCTCGCAGTGCGCCCAGCTCAGCCTGCTGAGCGTCACCGGCGCTTTCCACCGGCTGTCGCAGCCGCAGGGCGTCGTCAAGGACACGGCCTACCAGGTGCAGGCGTTCGAGGAGAACGTCGTGCAGTTTGTCACCACGCCCGGCCTGGGAGAGTTCGAGGCCACCGTGCGCAGCCGGGGCGGGTCTGCACCACTCGAAGAGCTGCTCTCGGTGGTAGATGTGTCCCGGCTGAACGTCTACCGCGGCCAAAGCGACTGCCTGAAGCAGCGCTTTGACGAGATGAGGTTTTGCTATTGTCAGAACATGGTGCAGTGAGATGTGGTCCTTTGATCGTAGACTGCATGAGTGTGGTAAAAGGATGATGTGATGTGCCCGCTAACTGGCATGGACTGTCACCTTTTGACGCCTTTGGAAAGCTTGATAATGGGGCTTTCCCATAACTGCTTTTTCACAGCTTTCAGCTAGTTGCTTGACGAACAACGTTGAGATTTATTTGGTCGGCGAAAAATAGCCACTTGTCTGAAAGATTTGCGCTCACGTAAAATAATACTTTACTGAGTTCAGCAATGATCGTGCGCTTATAACCCTTCTTCTTAGCAGGACCGTGTCCATAAAACTCCGAATTGGTGTATGTCTCTTTGAGTTTATGTATATGTAGAGTTGATATTGAACGTTCGCAAGTGTTCCGTTGTACTGGTGCATATTTTTGCCAGAACTGCAGTGCATAGTAGAAAAGGAGCTCTTGGATATCGTCAGTCGGCATTTTCAACCGATGTTTACCAATGAGCTATTACAAAAATTTACTCACCACTCGGCATGTTTCTAGAAAATGCCGTTTCCCAAGCACCGCTGATGTGCAGGCTTGTTCGGGTCACATGACACTGCGCCAAATGTGTTCATGTGTGGTGCTAAGGAAGAGAGATGGAGAACAGGGATCGCGACAGAACTGATTCTCTTCGCAGACCTTGGAAATCTTCTATGCTCCCAAATTTATTGCGTGTAAAAATGTGTAAATGGGTGGATGTCGTTCGATCATCAACGTCGTGGTTGTGCGGTCCTGGATATCGTAAAATGTTTCGGCGATTCTTAACGCCACCTGTAATGTCATCAGTTATGTACTGTCTACGTAACGCATACTTGCTGGCACTGACTAAAGCTATCCATGGCGCTACAACTTTTTCAAAGGAGGAGTACTTTTGTTACCTAGGCGGTCGCGGCTAGAGGCGGAAAGGCTCCAGATACTGCTGGGTTTATGGCATCCTATGTTCCACGTTCAGATTGGAATAAAGTCATTCAGTGACATTCGATGACTAAAATATATGACCTAACAGCAATTCCACAATAGTCCCGAGAGATGCATTACAGTCCACCGCGTGCCAAACCTAGCGGTCACAATTAAAAACTTGAACTGTTATTGACATGCCAGACAATACGCGTAGCAATTGAAAAGTTTACCCATTCCGTTACACAGCGCATGACACTCTTCATATAGCAGAACCGATATGTGTTCAGGTGTGCGGGACATATGTGTGGCAGTGTGACTGCATGCTGTTGTCTCAGCCGAATAATTTCTGTCTCGTGTTGTCTCGACCCTCGGCTGCCGGGCGCGCAGTCACGCGGCTGTGGAATGTGCCTGCTGCGCAGAAGACCTTCCGCAGAAACGCACTCAAACACACTCAACTGGATCATTCGGCACCTGCTGTCATTCCATGGGGTCTGAAGTCGGCCATCTGCGGCGGCGGCGCAGATCTCGCCACCTGCTCTCCTGAAGGGCCTTCTTATTTGATGGAATGTTCCGACTCGGCCATCTGACTTCTCTCGTCGGCATGATGGGGCTTCCTGTCGGCCTCATGAAATTTAAAGGAGGCACTAAACAAGCGGATAAGAAAGCTGACCCTTGCCGTCTGGTGCCAGGCTTGAAGAAAGCTATCAATTTACAGGATGTGATCGATGAAAATATGGAAGCCTTTACGAGCTATTTGGTGACAAATTTGCGAAAATGGCAACAGTATACAACAGATTAAGCCATATTTCAACAGACCATCCCAGTAAGACGACACTCAAAGGTTAGTATTGGTCTGTACTCACTAAAGCAAGTAACTTACAGCTTGTGAAGAGCACATGTCGAAACATTGTCGTCTGGCTGTATGAGCAAGCTGGGCTAAAAAATGTTGCCAAACATTGCAGCTTTAATCAGGATAGTTTCTAGCAGGTGATAGCAATATGCTACAGTCTATGCTAGAGCAGTGCTGACGTCACAGACCAGTGCTGGAGGAAGGCTTTTTCCAATGAACCTCATATCAGTGCCTTCCTTTGTTTTTTTTTCAGACAAGAGTCGCTTCACATACGTAACAGTATAAAACACCACATCACTAAGTTTTTTACTAGTCGTAAGCGTCGTCGCGGCCTCAGCACATTGCGACGAGTGGGATCAGTCTGTTGCGCGGCGTTTTAAATCATATCGTCGTTTGAGACCAACTGCTTCGATGTTCGCAACGCAGCTAATAATCGCGTTCATTGCAAAACTGTAGCCTACTGTTGGTTGTGGTTGTGTTCTAAGAAGCTCACCGGCTTGAAATACGTAGATAATCGTCAGCTTTGTAACGCACTGTTCGCCTCTTCTATGGATCTACCATTTAGGGCGTCCCTGGAAATAGCGTCAAAAACCCTTGGCGATCTAGAGGAGGCTCGTGTTTTGTCGACACCCGATAGTGGCTTCGGAGGTCGACGGAGGATATTGGAGCGACACATGTCAATGATTCATCCAGGGCTTTCTGCTGTCGAGAGGAGCAGCGGCTTTGGGGTAAGAGGCTGAGTATCGCTGGCGTAGGTCCTGTGCATCGGCCGTCGCACCGCAGTTTTAGTGAACTTGCCGGTTGACAGGCGTGAGATAAAACGCTTTTTATTGTCATATATTGTATACAGTGCCTAAATAAAGGTACCAGAGGTGTTCACAAAGGTCTTGTGCATCCGTTGATACCAATACTGAATCGGTCTCGTACCATATTCCGTTGATTAAGACCGCGTTAGCAAGTACGAGTTCTGCGCTGGAAACGATTATGCGAAAATGTTGTGGGTCGCCAATACTTCCAGCTGATTGTGTGATGACGTCCCCTAACCAAAAGTAATCATTTTCAGGTCCCTGCAGAACTATGACAGTCGGGGGATGTAGGGCTACAGGGATGCAGTTTTGCAAAAAAGCTACGGACGAGGAAAAGTGTGCGTGTGGGGGGGGGGGGGGGCTCAGCCAGACACCAGGCTAAGCCTGCCTTCGAAATGCAGTTAAAAGCGTTTTCCGGATTTGACCCACTTTCGTCTCAGAGTTGGGAGCCTGGGCATAGTTTCTCGAACGTAGATTGCGGGGCTCGGGGATCGGTTGGACTCTAAAAATGATGAATAAAAGATGCTCAGAAATAGCAAATTACGTGAATGCATGGGGGCACAGCCCCCCCCCCCTCTCATTTCATTTGGAATAGGAAACTACACTTATCGGCTAGTTAGGTAAAGTGTGTCTTCACATGATATTTACAATTTACATTAGACTAGTCTTAGCAATCAATCAGTGCTTTGGTGGATTGCTTGAGATCATCCAGTTCGACAGGTGCTCTAGAACAAAACCAAACCGACCGAGGTTCTTTTGAGAGAAACCTTAACCACTGTGACATATAGCTTTGAACATCAAATTGCGAGGGATGTATGTAATGAGGACGCACTCAAGAAGTCAATCATTGATCTTTAGCCATGATTGCTGCTGAAGGTGACCACCTTGTTGATGTGCAGTTGGTGCCCTCCTGGAGTCCTGCAAAGCCTTTCATGTTGTCTCACCAGTCATACCCAATTAATCTACCAAGTAATATTGCTGTTGGATCTCCTGGGTACTTTGTTGCCATAGTAATGTTTGACATGAGGCTGAGGTATGATTTTGAACATGGGGTGTCTTCAGGCCTCATGTGCGTGCATGCGATGCCTACCCATATTTTCATTAAATGACTTCTGCTAGATTTCTTTAACACACGCACGGGAGGCCAGCTGAATTTCGTTCACTGGGGTAGTGGTCACTTTGACCTATTAATATCTAAAAAAAATAAGACAGCTAGAGACACCAAATTCACAGAGGAGATTGGCCTGTACGCATAGTCATTTTTTCATACTGAGGCTTCTAGATCATGGCCTTAGGGTCAGATAAGGTTAAAAAAGGTCAGAGTTCAGATTGGTGCTTCAAGTGCCTCCAGACCTCCTTATGCACCCGGCGTGAACCTAGATACCTACTCTAAGCAATAGTTCAATAAAGTTTGTGACCTTGTTTGACCTTTATAAGGTTAAGGTGGCCAAATATTTACCAGATTACTCCTATTTTGCCCTTCGAATAAGCATCAGGGATTACCTTAGGTGGCATGTTCCTAAACACATCATGTTGACCTGACCCAACCTACCCTGACCCGTAAGATGTATATGGATCATGTCCGTTGTGGTCCCTGTCATAAATAACTTCGAAATGAGCACCAAAAAGCCATGCCCAAAAATTGGTAATTGACAAAAATGATGGTGTTGAACTAAGATAAAAGTAAAACACAAAATTTAAATTTTGGATAATTATCCCAAAACCAAGCTTTTGAATGAAAATCAGGTTAGTGTTGACGTTGTTCTGACATGTGTACCTGACCCTAGGTCAATGGCATTGGTTGTAATTCTAAATTAAATTGGTTTATTACGTAGGAAGCTATTTCAAATATGTATGACTTCGTCCAACATTCCGTTGTCGCATCACATCGAAAGATTCACTAGAAATGCCTTTTGCTGACAGCCATGACCCGACTTCGACCTGCCACAGGTCAGGGACCTTACGAGGTGCATTAGTATTTGCATGAAAAGATCCGCTATCTAATTTTCTACAATCATGCAAAGGTTGGTGTGGCTACGCCGCCGCTCGTAAATCATCCTGGTAAAACCTTTCGGGGGGAGTCAATTTGACCCCCTCACCCGAGCAAGACATCTCATTTCCTTTCGTTGCCAGAGGAACACCGTCAAGCCTGCACATGTTGAAATATTAAGTGCATGATGCAAAATAGTTGGTTTTCTGAACTAGATCTCGTGACTGTAAGAAGCTTTATGATCCTAGATAATAGATATGTTAAGGGTCAAATTTTCCTGAAAATCGAACACCGTCAGTCTCCATGATTCTTTGCAAGAAACCATCCCCCGTAGTTACACGAAATCCCAGCAGACGTGTTCTTTGCTTAGCTATAAGTACGATCATGTGTAGCTTTTTAGTTATAAATACGATCATGTGTAGTTTTTTAGTTGAACATGTTTTGAGCATGCCATGTCGGGCTCCGTTTATGTAACAGCGCCGTCCCGCCGCCCGCCCCGTGTGTTGGTCGCCGAGCAGGGTTCCTAAAAACCATCGCTTTTAAAAACAGGTATGTTACAGACAAGTTTTTGGTGTTAAAACACGTACCATAGATGCCTCAGAGGCTGAGGAGGTTTTGGGCGCGATTGTACAATATGCCGGAGGGTTATCTTCAGAAAACTTACGGATGGGGGGTTCCCCCATCTGAGAGAGAGTTAAGCTCGTTATGGCTTCTGGTGATTTTGGCCACTCCACTTAATGCTTTTCCTATATGATACATTAATGCCTACACAGTGAGGTTTATGAACTTAATACTGTCCTGGATCGATTCCAGGATGACATTGTGGGTGAGTGGCTCATTTTTTAAGGTCTAGGTACAGCTGTCTGAAAGAGCTTTCGTTTGGTGCACGGGCTCTGCCCATCCGTAGTCAGTGCAAGTGATTGTTACTCCAATTGTAGGCTTTTGGGGTACTTATCAGTCTGTGTTAAGAGATAATCTAGCTTTATGTTCGTTGTTAAGTGCATTTGCGAGGAACATTATTCATACAGATAACACAGTAGTGATGCCATTATTCCTCGGAGGAAAACTAGGAGAATCTTAATCCGTGACGTGACTTAATACAGACGCCTTGATGGTTCGGCGACATGCCTTTATCGAAAGGAAGAGCGGGAATGAGTGCTGCTGAATTTACTTCTGCTCTTTGCTTTGATAAAGGCATGTTGTATCAACGCGTCTATGTCTCCAATCTCCTGGTTTTTCTCCCAGGAAGAAGGCTATTACCACTTTCTTATCTAGTTTAATGTCCAGACGCAGAATAGAATTCCATGTGTTTTCATATCTAAATTTCATCTATCCACTGCTGAGAGACAGTAATGGGCCTCAGAGGGCCAGGCTTTCATCGGGCGGGGTATTTAGTGGCAGGTTATCGCGCCCCAGCGTGAGCGAGATCAACAGTGTTGCACTTGATACCACCCACGCTCTGGTCGGGTCACCGGGATCGATGGCCTGGTCTAAAACTTCCGCTTTGATGACCAGGCAGTCAGCAGTGTCGTTCTAACAATGTAAACTAGTATCACCACGTCCCCAGTGCAGAGTCAGGTTTTGAAGTGTCAGACACGCGACCGTTCCAGTGCCGTACGTGCGCCCATCCCAGTGCCG